TAACAAAGAGCATCATGAATCATGTGTTCGGTTTTTGTAGGTGGACAATCTCAAAAGCAGTTAGGACACGTCTCCATGGCAATTCCATCCCAAGCTCAACAGCAGCTCCAACAGATCCATGTATCGCAGTCATCACCCATCGCCTTGACAACCATACCCATGAGATTAGACAGTAGGATAGACAGTCTCAATTTATCAAAACAAAGCGTACTAACAAATGATGACAATGACCTGAAAGATGATGGTAGCGGACCAACAGGTAAGTGTCTAGAATCCTGCATTAGATTTAGAACCAGTGGACCTCAACAAAAAATTTTGGCTGGCTGCATGTGTAGCTTTGCGATACACACGGTAAGATCTCCATTTTTGATGTACTGTAAAATACTTTATTCAAGCTGAAATTAATTTTCGCTGAAAATACTTTTTGGGTGTTTTGTATGAAATTTATTTTTCCTGAAGTTGAATGTTAAATATAGGAAAACAGGTATATTCGCTGGATTTTATTATTTATTTATTTATTCAGCAAAAACAGGGAAAATTAATTCAAAGTGAAAATAAAGTATTTTACAGTAGTACAAGTAAAATAGGCAGAATCAACACATTCATGGTATATCAGGCACAATATTGCACACGGAATCAACTCCTCAGCCAATATGAGAGTTGTTCATTATTGCTATATGAATGAGTATAATTTTGAACCTGCAAATTTTTACAGAAATAAAAGCTGTCTATTTACCATTATAATCCCAAATTACACTTGACATTTTCAGTTGGGAGCTACCAGACTTTAGCGTATATGCAGATTACAGCGGAAGAGAAAAACGAACAATCTCAGCAGCGAGAGCACGAGGACGATTCCTCCAATAACAGAACACTGGAAGGCTACAATGTAGCAACAGAGGTGGCATCATCAATGTAAAGCCAGTGCAAGTCTAGAAGGGTGATAGTTTCACTTGCATATAGAAATTTATATCTCGAGTACTAAGTACTATTTTAATATCATCATTAAGTTTTAAACTTAATATTAAGTTTTGATTAATCAGCATTACTACTAAAACAGAACAATAATCTGATAATTTAGGTTATTCCATTACATGATTATTTTTTTTGGGGGGGTGAATGTTTTGTTTTAGAATATATAGTTTTTTTATTTTATGGAAGTATTCTACTCATACTGCCTAATTTGAATATTTAAATTACCAGCTTTAGGACTGCCAATCACATTACAGAAATGAATCAGTATTCAAATGTATTTAAATTAACCAGCCACGCAGCTGCCAATCAGATGGCAGAAATGATTATACCTGTTGTCAACAGCCAATGAATGTCTTTGTATTTTTTTGTCATAGTGTACATACGTGTTGTTTTAAATGTAGCTATCTCCTTTTTTTTCAAATCATTTCCTGTATTTTTGTTAAAGGTTTTTATTTTATTTTTCATTTTCCAGTATTATAATTGACCCATTTTATAATTTGTTGACATTTCTACACACAGGTTAACCATTTCACCACCAGTTTTTCTGTCTTTTTTTTCTAATGTTTCTGGAAATTATTGTAATTTTGGAGCCAACAGACAAAAGTTAAGTCAATTTTCAGTTTTTAATCCAAAAATTTTGCTATTTTTGTCCCAATTTTCTGAAGCAAAGTGCAGACTATAAACGGGACTATTTTGTGAATTTGTGATGAAAAGAGGGAACTGGTGGTGAAAAGGTTAATACAATTGGCTAAATAGACCTTGATTCAAACAGTAGCGCAACAAATAAATAATGCCGACCGACAAAAATAAAAAGACATTTTGGAATATTGCTGCAAAATATTCACTATTCACATTTTTATTGACAACTATTTTTTTTAGTTTTCTGGAGGTTTTCGGGGCGTAAAACTTGAAAGATGATGATGCTTATTGCACTATAATTTTGTTTTAATTATGCATCACAAAAAGTTTGTGTTTTAAAAGTCGAAAAAAAAATATTTTTGAAAAGTTTTAGTTAAATATTAATGAATATAAAACAGCCAATCGAAATTCAGAATCTGAATAAAATGTTTTTTTGTTTTTTTTTGTAAATCTCTTCAAATTCACAAGAGAAAAATTTAGTGAAAATTGTGAAATTTTGCCTGGAGAATGTCTGTCACTCTTTCAAAATTTTGTCTTTACTAATGTCATATAAATGCAAAATTTTCTAGCAGCGAAAATTAAGCGATTTTC